TTACAGAGGTATACCCGAAAACAATTTGGTATTCAAGGTTAATCCAAGACAGAAATAAGGAGGATAGGCACGAAATGCAGCAGGAAATGGTCCTTCCGGGGTAACAGCAGGGGGCATCTAGAGAGGCAAATATAATTTACTATCTAAAATTTGCTTTCTCCTAAAAAGGGAATTAAACATTAAACATTAACATAATCTCTTCTTCAAAATAGTTGCTCTAGCCTCACTATATCTATCGAGGTACCGCCAGTTTGTGGTCTCTCCCGTTCGACATGCGACCACCAGTCCTTCCCCAATTTATATCCCCGGTTCCAGGCCCCGTCACAAGTCTCTCTAGCAGTCCAAAACGGCTGCCCCGGCCAAGCGCTAGAGCCGGCACTAAACCCAGTGGCAGCTTGGGAGTTACCCATCTGCATCGTTGGAGACATGGGTGCTGGTGTACGCGGAGACAATGGTTGACTCGATTTATGATTAGAATTGCTGCTTCCGGCACTGCCCCAGGAGCCGAATAGGGTTGAAGATGGGGAAGAAGGAAGAGTTGCCGTGTCATCGTTTATACTCGAGCCGGTGTTTCTTCTGTCGGTAAGTAATGGTGACGATGATGCTACTGCACCAGCTCCTGCCGCTGCTAAGTATGCTAGGGTTTGGTTTGAGGAGAGGAAATGACGCCAGCTAATTAGACCGCCGTCGGCGTCTGAGCCGGGTACGTCGGGGGTCAGGACAAAGCGGGGGGGTGCACCCACATCCGCACCTGATGATGTGCAGACTCGACCCACGCACAACGGAAGCGTAAATTCATGCACCGTGATACCACGTGGATCCCGTCTAGGTGAAGGAGCAACCCTTTTCTTTTTCAACGGGCCTAATATGTCATATCTATCATCCAGACCTGGTTCGGGGGTCGGGTCGGAGAATGCTAATAGGTCTGGGAGCTTGAACGCTCCGGAGTGGTCACTAACAACAATTTTGATGCCCGTTTCATTGCTTTTAGCAGCCATGTCGATGAGGGTTTGGCCACGTATGCGCGCTGATGTCAAGTTGTTTCCACTCGGAAGTGCTAAGGGTCGCTTCGGAATTGAACCATGTGAGCTTCGAGGAAGGGAATAGCGGTCTGCAGGCACCATGATCTGGCCGTTTCGCGTAGGCCGACAAACGGCCTGCAATGCCCCAAGGGGATCCATGTCATGAGGTGCACGGAGAGATTTCAGACATGGAAACCCCGAATTCAAGATACTCTGGGCTAGATGAGAGTTGGCTGTGTTGAACTTTCTGAGTGATGACAGGCGCGGAAAGGATTGGAAATCAGTTTGAGAACCATTCGTATCTGGACATGCCACGTCCCAATGGAGATGCTTCAAAACTGGTGAAGCGAGCAATGGTTGGAATACCATCCCTCCATCAGACAATGTCGGCGCAGTCTTGGTCTGGACGATGCTGAAACGTTCCAGTCTGCTCAAGGACGCAAGGATCTTAGAAATGATCAGGAGAGACCTAATATTCAGTTCTACTAATGTCAATGATTCGAGGGCGCGAGCCTCTGGGCGAGTTGCATAATGCGAGAGCCCATTTTCCGTCAATCCCGGTAGATTCTCAAGACGGAGGGATGTCAACTGAGGTAAAAATAATAATGTGCGGTTGGTAAAATCATCTGCACGGAAACCACAAACTGTCAAGTGACGTAGGGATGGCAGGAAGTTGAACATCCGTAAGAATAAGCCATGTCCCAGTATGCCACCAGAATCCAAAGAATGTACCATGAGTGTCTCGAGATTGGACCACGAAGCGTGGTAGTTGAGGAACTGGAAGACTTGTCCATTATCTAAAAGTTCGGAAGACTGGTTTTTTGACCGTTCGCTGATTTCAGGGTTCTCCGCAATGATCCACGCGTGTTCCTTGAGCTTCTTCCGCGTTGAAAGAGCGTGCGTCAAGCGATCAAACTCGTGGTTATAGGGCAGCGAAAGGCCAACCAAGCGTTCCAAGTTCGGGCACACCATCACGACTGATGCCACAAGGTCGCGATATTCCTGCGCGGTAATGCTTTGTTTGCCATTTCCACCCGTTGCCGTCTCCAGATCCGGTACCCTAAGCTCAAACACTGCATTGGCCAGCAATTTTCTTTCTCTCAGCGATCGTCGCAACAACCTTAATCTACTTCCTCTTTTCCATTTGTATTTCTTGAGCTGGGCCGGCGAATCGTTACCCTGGATATATATTTTGTTATATCTAAAGAAATTTAGCAATTGTCGATCCGTTATGTGCCGGACCGTCTTACAATTTACCCCTCGCAGCTTTTTCCCAAGCTCTGCTGGTCAATGCTAGAGAATATAAATCTCGCATGTAACACGTTATACACCCGTCGCTATTGGGAGCCAAGTGAGAATATTGCAGATGTGAGATGATACAGTCATAGACTTCCTGCGGTAATGGCCTTAGGAATGGTAGTTGTTCTTTGGAGCCTGCATTGGCGGGCTTGAACGCGCGGAAAATGAAGCTCCCAGAAGGTGCAGCGGCGGTGGGAGAGTATATTCTTGGAGTGTTCGCATTGGGATAATTATTATTTCGCGCATATTGCATCGAGGATGCTCTGGGAGAAGGGCTCCTGGGGTGCACAGGAGTAGGAAAAACGGGCGATGCCGAACGGCTGGGGACCACGCCTCGATATGGATCACCATTGTAGGCCATTCCCGTGGAAGCGGATGGTCTACTCGCAACGGCGTTCATTGCGTTCTATTCAACACCACGGAAAAGGAGGAGATGAAGCGTTGATGATGAAAAGATAGGGGAGGCATCAAAGGAAGTAGATTGTTTACTGATCACTGGAAACATAAACAATCAGGGAAGAAACGAACGCATGCCCGCCAGAATTGACACGAGGAGCTAACAGCGTAGACTCGCAGAGGAGCAACAGCTTTAGGTTCGGTTTCTGGTGACGAGCGCTGTACGAATCCGACAAGCCTTGACGATCAACCCCACAAAACGGACGATCTTTTAAGTGAAATGCTCTCAACCATTCTCAAATAATTGTTCAGCAAGCAACCAAAGGGATCCGAAATAGTTATATTCGTCCACGGAAACAGAAAACAGTTAGAAAGAAAAATATCTTCAGGAATCAGCAGTGAACAGCAAACTGCCTTGCCGCACCTCGTTCGATCGCCCGGGTTCCCATCGATCGTTGTGTACTCCGTACCAGCCGGTGAATTTATTTGGACAGGGTCGCGATAGGCCCACTGCAGGGCCAAGGAAGAAATAGCTTCTCATTAGCGCTTTGACCGCACTTTGGTCGCGAAGTTAAAAGAGCCACCAGCCACTGATGGCAATGATAGCCAGTGGGGGATCGAAAGAGGAAAAAGGGGTCAACGACAGGATGTGACCATGGACCGTCAGCTGTGGAGCGGCTGAGCCATGATGCCCTTGACGCTCACATCGACGCGGGTTTTGATTTCCATCAAGCGTCACGGTTTGATGTAGTGCATTGCTGCTACTTCATTTTCCTCTTTTTGGGCTTTTTCCCTTCTCAGCTCGTCTTGTCTCTTGTCTTTGGGCAGAACCCCAGAGCGTCGAAAGCTGGTGTCGTGTCTGTTTTGTCTGCAGTCAGAAGCGTTGAAAGTCTGATCGGGAGGCTTAACCATGGCTCCGATCTAAGACATATCGGGACTAGTTCGCTCATGACTCGGGACTTGGTCGGATCAGGATTAGCGTCAACCGTTGCTGACTAACACCCTTTTCCCCTGAACCATACCCACCCAATCGCGGTTTGCGCCATGAAAGACAACGAGATAGCAGTGAGGACAGAGAGAATCCGACAGCAGTGTGACGGGTGTTGCTCGCCAGCGCGGACACACGTCTGGCAACTATTAATGGTTCATACTTATCCTTTCCATTCAGCTTGTTATCCGCCAATACCTCACCTGGCCCGTGAATTGCATGCGTTTCCCGCGCGAGCAATCCAAAAATTGAGTGGCCCTTCTTGATTCATTGATCCTTCGGGGTTCTGCTGAAAGCGCCTCAACCAACCTACATGGGAGTAACGCCCACGTATCTGAATTTCGAGTTATCCGCATCGTGCATTACGAGCCGCGTTATTGAAGCTATAAACTTCTTCGTCTCCCGTGGCTTCACCGCCCTATGCCTTCTTTTCTCTACTGTCTCCTACCAGATTCCACCGGCATCCCAATCCGTTGCTAGACCTCGTGTACTCCGTACGGTGTCATATATTATTGTTGTTAATGACTGCATATTTTCCTGCAGAACGTTCCCATTATTTGGATTTGTCAGGCTCTGACGTTATTGGATATAGCCGCCGTCCTCTCCATGTTGCTCGTACTTTGGGAGGCGCGGCATGCCCTGGGTATCCTACTGCGGCGACAGTGAGATGATGCTCAAGTAACCTGGCTGACGCATTGCATCCTGCGGCCATGGACTGGATTCATACCGATATACAACCCTAGTCGCGCTGGCAGTTTTCTCCTGTGCAGACTTAGATCCTGCAAAAACGTCAGGACCTTGAAACAAAGTATGTTTTGCCTGGTCTGGATACCTCCAACTCGTCCTCTGCGAACCTCCATTCTTCTTAACACAATGCAGCTGCTACGCAATCACCCACGCTTCCGACACGGGAGAAGGTATCCTTCAACCTTGAGGGGCAATCTGCTGCTGATCAGAGCCTATGGAGGAATTTTGCACGACGGCATGTTTATTCTCCGAGGCAGCTATTCCCTTCTTACGCACCCTCGACCGTTTACTTGACACGAAATAGGAAATAGCGTCTACCTACACCTTCGTATACTTGAGAATTGAGGAAAGAGCGGCGGCCATATCTTAGAAAGGAACTCAGTGATGGCAAGTTCTACACCTCTGAGGATCTATAAAGCGCCGTTAATATTCTATGTTTGCAAGCGATACATAGATATCAGGCACTTCTTGTCGCAAGCCACTAAAATACACTCAATAATTCCATTTTAATTGTTAGTTCGCCAGGGCGGGAAGTCTAGACCATTGATGGTCCCGTAGTGTAGTGGTTATCACGGTGGATTTTGATATTTGTCTCAATTTCCACTGACCCCGGTTCGAGTCCGGGCGGGACCTAATAGAAACAGAACTTTTTTTTTTTCCTAAAAGAAGCTATTTTTTTTACCCTCTCCCACTACCACTTTTACGGTTGAAAGTTTCCTCCGCTGCGGAGCCTTGGTGTGAGTTACTTCCAAATAGCACCGAATAGCTGGTGGCTGCCGCACTAACAACATGTCAAAATGGTTTCTCTCCCCGCAAACACGTGCATTCAACCTCATGAATCCAATAATGATGGTACAATTATTATGTATATGCATAGATACGAGCACACAATACCTTAGAGACTCCGCATAGATCCCCCCTAGAGAAGTAACTACCAGATCAACCCTCCGAAAATTCCCGCAGACCCCCTCACAAGCTTCCAATCCATGAGTGAAATAAATTAAACAATGACGGAATTTTACCTGGATTTTTATGGAGAACATTATTGGGGCGGGGCGGGGAACCGTGACAAGATAGAGATGCATAAGTTATGTCATACTCCGTCAGCACACAACATGAATTTTTTTGGTACTCTAGATCGAGGGGACATTGAGATGTTTTTTCTTTCTTTTTTGGACACACAATAATCGCGCTCCTCGCGGCGAACCCTTTCGAAGTCTGCTCTATTCGAAGTATACTATTACTTCGTGCTTATTTCTTCGCTACGCCGAGGCCGAAAATGCCTTATACAGCGTACAGAGGATCTACTGCGGAGAGATCCAAAAGGAGAGGAGAAGAGAAAGTTGAGGGCGATTCGGACGTATGTAGCTACAATATTGGACGACTTCTCTTTCCCCACCTGCGTCTCCGGGTTGGCTAGGAATTGGAACAATAATAATAATGGATAGAAAGGCGCACCATAAAAAATAAATAACTAAATAAGTAAAATTGAGTGGGTTGGTCAAGATGAATGGGTTGGAATGGGGATATACCGATACGATATCCTCATGAGATATTAAAACTAGTGAATCCTCACACCGTTTTGTTAGATCACTCGAAAAAAATCGAAGAGAGGAGAAAAATGCTTTTTTTTGCTGCAGTATAACTGTACGTAGATATAGATAAAACCGCGCCAGAGGATATCGTGAAATGATATGATAAATCCTAAGAAGGAATGAAGAAGACAGGGAGAGCACAGGAAAGAAATATGAATATGTGATGCCAATATGTTCTTTTTATGACCCATAATATGCAAGAAGAGAAATATAACAAAATAAAAATAAAGACGATGACACGCAGAGCAGGATTGAATAAGAACGAAGGAGGCTAAAATATAAGGCACAAACCGGCGCGGATTCAAGGAGGAAGGAAGGGTCAAAGCAAAAACGGAAAAAACGGAAAGTGATATCATTTGGTAAAAACTATGGAAAAAAAATGGAAACATAAGAAGGAGCATGGGAGGGCGGGGAGGCAAGATAGATATAGTAGTTAAACAAGACAAGGGGGAAGGTTTTCCCCCTCTCTCTTTCTCCCGCACAACGGAAATTGATTGATCAATCAAATGATGCAACGCGATGCAAATAAACGGAAACTGAGGAATACGTTCCCTCGAGGAAAAGAGTGAAAAATAAGAAAAATAAGACATATAGATATAAAAAAAAAAATGAAACGTAGATGATAGAAGAAAAACAAGGGCCTCTGGAGGTGTAGCTCAATTCGGAAAGCGTCTAACGCAAGGCGGGCGGCGCGTCGTCGACTAGGCAGGTGTGTACTGTATACTCTGTAAGGGCGTCTGGGATCTTGTCTTTTCAAGGCTCATCCAGTAAACAAGAAAATAAATAATCGCTTTTGCAAAACGGCGACAAGCAACACCTCACCCCACATGCGATTCGTTAACATGATAAACGTTTTTTTTTTTAAAAAGAAACAGAAGTTAAAAAGGGCTAAGATAACGGGAGGAAAAACATTCTCTCTTTGATTTTTCTTTCTTTTTTTCTTTAAAATTAAAGGGAAAAGGGAAACCGGAAACGGAGGGAAGTGAAAATTTGTCCTGATCATGTACAGAGACAAGAGGAAGTATATGCATTGCAAAAAAAAGAACCTCATTCATTATTAATTCTTCTTTGCGTTTCCCTTTCGTCAAAAGAGGTTCACATATCAAAGTGGTAGTCATCATCGCCGAAAATACCGCCTTCAGTGTGTTCGCTCGTTTTTACGATCCCGCTCATTCGATGATCCCTTCCACTCGCGGGCGGGTGCGCTTGTTTTACCCAGGTATCATCTGGCTTTGTGCCGTCCTCCATGTGAACATCCTTCATATGCTGGTCCATGGAGCTTTCATTGACAAAAGTAAAACCTCGGAAATTGGCTTGCATGCCTGGCGATAAGGGTGTTGACGCTGGCATGGCGCCAGCGGCAAGTGCAGCAGCGCGCGCATTTAGGGAAGTGGCCTGGTCCAGTGCAGTTGTGAACTCTGGGTCGAAGTACGACGTATCCATCACTGACTTCAATTTTGGTTTAAATGGAGGAGCCACATTCTTTCTAGCCAAGGCGTCCCAATCGACATCATGGAAGAAAGGATGGGCCATGAGTTCTTTCGCGTCGTCCGTAGCTCCTAGTCGGTGTTTTGGGTTTCGATTAAGTAGACCTTTCACGAAATTGCGTCCCTCAGTACTAAGAGCGTCACGAGGAAACCTCACTTTCCCGAAGGCGATGTTCTTATACATCTGCTGCGTATCCTCTGCGTAGAAGGGACTCCATCCACAGCACATTTCGAAGACGAGCACACCCAAGGACCAGAAATCTACCATCTTCGTGTAACCTTGTTCATCCAGGAGAACTTCAGGAGCAAGATACTCCGTTGTGCCACAAAACGTATTCGTTGTTTGATTTTTTGTCAAGTTTGCCTTGGATAGCCCAAAGTCACAAAGCGCAATGTGACCATTTGCATCAAGCAGAATGTTCTCTGGCTTGAGATCGCGATAAACGATGTCATGTTCGTGTAGATGTTGCAATGCCAGTATCAACTCCGCAATGTAAAACTTCGCTCTAGCTTCTTGGAACCTGCCCTCTTTTTGTAGATGCCAAAATAGTTCCCCTCCCGACATATAGTCCGTGACAAGGTACAGATCAGTGGGCGTTTGGAAAGAAAATTTGAGACCCACGATAAAAGGAGAATTCGTCATGGCAGTTCGAACCAAGATATTCCTTTCACCAAGCGTGTGGGCCACTTCCTTCTTCTGGATGATCACCTTTTTGGAAAGGACTTTCATTGCGTAGATTCGTTGGGTGTCTTTTTTCCTCACTTGGTATACTTGCCCAAACGTCCCTTTCCCTATGAGTTTGAGGATTTGGAAATCGTTTGGCCCAAACTGCTTCTTATCCGTTTTCTGAAAACTCATTTCCAAGTGTATTTCCCCAGACACATGGCCGTCACCCCGACCACGAGCTACCAGAGGATACCAACCCTCTATAGACTGATTATCTTCCTTGAAACTGGCGCTCAATTTTACATGACCTAGAAATGCCTCATGATTCGATCTGTCATAAACCGAAACCTCAATTTCCGATTCGTCTCCAAGGACATCACTAGAGATTAATCAGCCATTTGGATGCATTTACTGGTGTTGCCGGGGGTTTCTTTTTTTCTTTTTTTCTTTTTTTTTTTCAGAAAAAGAAAATAATGTTAGAGAGAGGAGCAGGAACAAAACGCACAAAACGGCTTCATGGTTCCACTGAGGATCCGTTACCACACCTGCCTCTTTACGATCATGACTATCCAACATACTGTTATTACTGCTTTGCCGACTTTTCATTGGGATTGCCATTGGACGCCCGGAATCACTGTTTGATCGTTGGATTGGTACAGAGGATAGCGAATCCTCCCCTCCCTTCGTAGTCCCAGCATCATCTCCCTCCTCCGTCTGAGCGCCCTTGGAAATGTACTCATTCAATTCGAAGACGCACACAACGTAAGGGTCGAAACTTGGTCGTAAACCCCTCCCCTCGGATATTTTGATAGATAATTTCCCTTTTAGCGACCCTACCGGAATCCCTTGAGTTTCTGTTATGCCAGTAGAACGAGACGACGACTGCTGAGGTGTTCGCTTGCTCGACTTTGTTGATTCAAGATGCTCATGAGCAGGGGAACTGGTGGGTTTATCTAGCTGAGGAGTTTCATTTGTTGACATGGCCCGCGGAGTTAGGGGCGGTGTATTCTTTTGCGGTTGATTGGTAGTCAGCTTTGCCAGTTCCTCAGAAGAATTGGAAAGCGGGCAAGAGTGAATGGAAGGTGATAAGGTAGGGCAAGTAGGTGAAGACGGGTTAGAAAAGTGAGATGCAAGGACGGGATCCTTTGAGAGACTGCTAGAAACAGGTTCTGATGTATGCCGTCCAATCTTTAAGGAATTCTGCGAAAGCAGGTTCTTTATTGCGCGGCAGATAGAACCCATTCCGCTCTCAACCACAGGCGCGCCATTTTCTGCCTCTTCTGCCTCCTTTTGCACAATCGAACAGGAAGAAGATAAGGGAGGAGTGGGTAACGAGTTGATGTCCGAAGGTGCCTCCTCTTTTCCTCGCTGATCTGATTCTTTTTCAGGTTGGGATGGAACGGGATCAGACGACTGATCTCGCTCCAGCATTACAATGGAGCCAGACATCGAGGCATTGTCAGAGGAAGCCTTCGTCTCCACATCAACTTGAGGATGTACAAGAGAATCGTGTTCTTGAGTATAATCGGAACCACGAACCTGAAAATAGCTGGGTATTATGCTCGGGAAACGCTTGTCGGTAAACTCCGGTTGCGGTGTAGCAGAGTTACCATCGGGAGGGGTTGCAGAGCCTATATCGTCATCGTTTTCTCTGCTAAACATTAGCTACAAGAGCCCAATAGGTCGGACAAACATGCGTGGAGGGATGGATATGTTGTGGGGAAGCCTCTCCAGGCCATGCCAAAGGGAGATAGCAAGACTGTAAAAGCCGGGGTTTCAAAACGAGAGAAATGCGATCCCAAAAGAAAAGACAGAGCTAGCCCGCCGGCAATGGAGTCAAGTGTTTTTCTTCTTCTTTGAAGCCTTCCACCCCCAGCGAGGCAT